CCGGATCCGGCGCTGAGGCGGCTCTGCGGGCTCCATCAGCACCCTCGCCGCCGTCGACGACAGGGGCCACTGTCGCTGCCGCCACCGAGCCCGCTGCCACCGAGGTGGTGAACCACGGGTCGGGGAGCGACGTGACCAGCGGGATGCTGGACGTGGCGCGTTGTTTATTTGAGCTGCCGCTGCGGAGCGGGCGCGGCACATTGTCGCGGCCACCAACTCCGGCTGTTGCAGGATGCCACCGCTGTGCGTTGACGACGCCGGACCCTGGGCCTGCTCCTCGCCGACGCCGCCCGCCGGTGACCTTAGATCCGTGCCATTCGGGTCCAAGGTCGGTCCTTTTGGGCCTGTGGGCTCCCCGGAGGCCGTCGTGGTGCCTGCGGCCAGCTCCTCCCTCTCGACGGCCGCGGCACCGTTCTACCCCAGCGGCTCCCCGAAGGGGTGCTCTAAGCGCCGTCGGTGGGCGGACGATGTTGGCTCCGAGGATTCCAATGACGACCACCCTGCAGGCACCTACCTAGATGATGTCCGACGCCCGGCGAAGCCGCAGGCCTGCTCAATCGAGGTTCTGGGATGCTGCGGAGCGGACGGAGGCCAACTCAGGTTGGAACGAAGGCAAGGTGGAGCGAGCACTTGCCAACAGGGACCTGTGAGGAGACGGAGAAAGCGCAGCCGACCGTCAGCCTGTTCGTTTGGTCGTAAACGATCGTAAATTTTCAACCAGAAACAGTGTTTTTCTCTCATACCAAATCAGCCAGCAGTAAATAATCCACGATACAATACGGCCTCCCGAACAGGCTGCGTGCCCCCAGCTGGTGCGTGGCCTGCCTCATCGGCCAGTGGATGGTCGTGTCCCCACCCGCCACCGCCTCGGACGCCGCAGACGGGTCTCCGCCCCGAACGTCGATGGGTGACGGGAGATCCTTCCCCGGCAGGAGGCGCGACCAGCGGCCGCTTCGGCTGAGGATCGCCATGGCCAAACGTAGCTTCCGCACATCCGAAAGATCCCCGCTGAGCTCCGCGATAGGTGTTTCAACTGTCTTTCCTACTCGCACCGAGTCACGACTTGCCGGTTGCCATGACGTTGTCTGCGCTGCCACGGCTTCGGTCATCTCGCCAGGGATTGCAAGCGGCCCAGGCGTTCTGTGAGGTCAGTGGCGAAGGGTGGAGACTTGCCCCGGCACTCTGCTCGGGGTGACACCCCACCGGCCTCGCCCCGCGGCGGTCTACCGTGTTCAGATGGGGCTGTGCGAGGTGCCACGGGGGGCGCCGGTGGAGTCCGACGACGACGCTGGCGGCGGCGGAGTAAGCCGGCAGGGGACACCAGCATGGCCGCGCCTGCCGACCACACCGATAACGGCGCCGTCTCTGCTGCTGCACACTGCTTCTACGAGCTTGACCCGCTACTGTTGGAGCAGTGCGTGAGCGCGGGGCCTCCTGCGTGGGTCGACCCAATGCTGGAGGAGCTTGTCGCCTCTCTCGTCATGAGCCGTCCAGCTGGAGCACCGGCGACTCGGTGCTCGCCGGCTCCGGCGGCGGCCCCCCATGAAGCCGAAGCATTGTTGGTGGACTCCTGTTCTCCTGCGAAGACTGTCCAGGGGACGACAAACTCGCCTCCGTTGTCGCCTGTGCAGGGGCAACCACTCGTCACGCCACCGCGGGAGCGACAGGCCGACGTCATGGATGCCACCACTCTAGGCGCAGACGCAGCCACCCCTCCTCGACGAACGATTGTGGCTGCGGCGGACGACGTCACCCCTTCGCCTCAGACGACCTCGGCCGATAGACGCCTCAAGCGCTCACTGAGCGAGTTACAAAGACGAGGCAGCCACCACTCCTCAAGCTGCCCGGAGCTGAGGCATCCCTCGGCGGACGTGCACCGCCCTCGCTCCCCAAGCGAAGCAGACGGATAGCGGCACAGGCTACATCTCATATCCGACAGCCAAGCGAGGAGAGTTCCTCGTCATGAAGCGTCCGGGGCTCTCCAGCGGGACGTCGCCTCCGTCGACGTCGGCGATGACGTACGATGAGTTATTCAAGGGTGACCCCGCTCATATGCAGGCGTTGTTTGAGTTGTTGCCTCCGGTTGGCAACGTAGGCGCGCGCAAGCGGCGCCGCCGTCCGGCAACTAGGGCATAGGCCTCCTTGCCAGCGCTGCAAATCTGGGTCGATCTCTGTCCAATGTAACAACCTAGCTTACAGTACACCAGAGAGGTTCTGAGCTTCATGTAAATCTTTACTGACCCCCTAGGGCGTCCGAAAGCGGGTTGTATCGGATCTTTTCTCTATGTTAATATAAAGACGCGCAAACCTTTTGCGTGACTGAGAAAAACCTCCTATTTGGATCTTCAAGAGTTGAAATAGTCTAAAGTTTAGTGGCTAAGCATTAAATCATGGGATCAAAATAGGACCTTATATTGTTTTGTATTGTCTGAGCATTATACTAGTCTTCGCCTAAGATTTTTTAGGGGCTCTTGTCCTCGGAGAATTTTTTATTTTTTAATCATTTTTTATTAATATTTTAATAATAACTGCTCCAAAAAATATTTTTAGATCTGACCCTTTTGGTCGTGCCAGTCCCGCTGACGCAACCAAACAACGCTGTTGCGCCAACGCATGTTGCCGCGACTGGCGCGACCAAACAACGCTGTCGCGCCAACGCATGTGGTGCGACAACATCTTCCTTGTTGGATGGCGTTTCCGACGTGGGAAAGCTTGTCGCGCCACTCCCAGTGGCGTGACAATATTGTCTTGTCGCGCCAACGGGAGTGGCGTGACAAGACTAATTTTTAAAAAAATCATAACTCTTCAATACGACGTCGGATGAAGATAATTTTTATATGAAAATTGTAGATCTCGACGAGATCTACAATTTTCTAGTTTTGTGTTTTTTCATTTGAGAAAGTTAAGATGCTCAAAAAAATAATATAAATTTCAGCACCATAATAATCGCGTACAAGTGCTTGCCGCATTTAAAAAATAATATCTTTTTGTATGTGTCAAATGAAGATACATTTTGTATCAAAGTTGTAGCCCTTAATGAGATCTACAAGTTTATAGTTTTGAGTTTTCATATTTGAGGTCATTAACATACTCTAATAACTAATATAAAGTTTTAGCAGCATATTAATCGTGTATCAAAACTTATCTTTTTAGAAAAATCATCTATTTCTTATTTGATGTCACATAAAACTACTTTTTAAATAAAAGTTGTAGATCTCATTGGGAGCTCCAATTTGATATAAAAAGCACAAATTGAAGTATTGTTCTGTCGCGTCACCGGGACTAGCGTGACAAGACCAAATCTTTTTTATACTCCTGGTGACAGCGTTTTTCACGTCGGAAACGCCCTTTAACATGACGGATGTTGCCGCGCCATTGCATGTGGCGCAACAACGTTATTTGGTCACGCCAGCGACGTTGACGCGACCAAAAGGGTTAGATCTGGAAAAAAAAAGAAGATGGAGCGATTATTATTAAAATATTAATAAAAATGATTAAAAAAATCGCTTGTCCTCCTACCGTTGTCACGAAGTTTAATTATGATTTGTCCTTATTTATTTAGTTTTGTGATTTTTTCCTTATATTTTTTAAAACATGCAGATTTACCCCTATTCTATTTAGAGGAGTCAGTAGTTCATTCATGTAAAAAGAGTAGTTTTCCCACCTTGTGATTTTAACATCGAATATTTGGGAAACATTTTAAAAATCTTTACAACAGACTTTGCAAATATTTTATATCTAAGCAAAGTTTAAAAAGTCGGCAGGAGTTAAAATCGTATTTCTATTTTTCAGACTTTTTTTAATTCATTTGTTTTTCAATGTGATCCCAATACTACTATGATACAATAACAGTGAGGGAAAAAAAAACGGATCCTTAGAGCCTTGGAGGAGGCACGACGGATGATCAAGGTCATCAGGGGCACACTAAGTGGACGGTAAAGGCCATTAGGAGCTGAGGATGTATACCCACATGGAAGATTGAACTGCAACTGACGCCTAGCATCGAGTCTTTAACAGTATACTTTTCTAGGCTTCAGAGTTCAGATTTGGTTGTAAGTTGTTTGTGCATTCGGGGTTAATTCGGTTCTACTTTCAAAAACTAAACGCAAATCCTACCTATCTTATGACAGATTTTATCCTCGAAATCTACCAATGACCGTTCCCTCGCTAACCCGACCAAAGCACACAACGCTGCGAGTCTGCGACCCCCGTTGCCTTGACATCCTGGCATCTCGCCAACCCCCTAAACCAAACGGAGTGTACTGAATTTGGCTGTCAGTTCAGTTGACAAGAACTCGTAGGAGGTGGCACAAATCTCTAAACGAATCCTACGGTGAGAAATTTGATATAATGTACTTGAGTTAACAGATAAATAGCACAACTAAAATTGGAATAAGCGAATTTATTTTTTTATAAAGAAAAATTCATAGGTGCTTCAATATATTTTGTTAACAAAGAAAAAGAACTACAGAAATAATAATTGATTGAACTAACAACTCACCCTCAAGCTCAAAATGACATGCCAATGGAAAGAGGCTCACTGAGAATTTGAGATGTAGAGCTATATTCTGTTAATAAAATCAGACGGTTGCATGAAGTCTCCGCGAATCCAAGGACCAACACTCTTGACTTTCTTGGGAACAACCAGGCAAAAACATATGAACTTCATCTGCATACAAGTGCAGGGGAAGAACCTCAAAATGCAAACTGCAGAGCCTGAAACAACCATTCCCGTATACCACAAGAGAAGGCACATATGGCTCAGATTAAATAAAAGAGAAATTGCCCATATGGATCGAATCTATGTTAGAATTCCTACAATATTTATTAGATTCTCTAGGAGAATCTCTTCTAGATACGAACCCACATCCTTTTCCTTTATTGTAAAAAGGACCTTTGTTAGCTACAATGACTTGGCATTTACAAAGGGCCAGAGCTCGGTCTGAAACCCAAACTTCCAAGGTTCCTCAGGTTCATCCACTAGCAGACAAAACAAATCTTCATTCATGATCATAAGTTGACATACTGGACAAAGAATATTTGTAAGATGACCCCTTCTTATCTGATGATCGGGAGACAGCCGCGAGGGGATCTCCAGAATAGAGCTTTGATCTTGATGATGCCTGCGCACTTGGACCATTCAAAGCACCAGGTCCAGGAGCTAGAGTGTTGGACCTGTATGGCCCGGTGGATGTCACTCCATAATAATTTGCCAAGCTACCACTACCATATTGAGGCGGAACAGCAAGGGCCTGATTTTGGATGCCAACTGGACGATGGCTCCCAGCAACTACCTGTGAAATCTTTGTGATCGCTGGCAGTACATTCTGGGTTAAAGCAGCTTGATACGGATTTGACACTCCAACTTTAAGAATGCTCTGCTGTGGCTTAAATTGTTGAGTAGAGGTTCCAGCTGAGTTAACGTTCTGGCCTAAAGAACTTTGCACCACATTCTCGGGCCTTGGTCTCTTAGCAGGCTGCATCAGCTCCTGTATCTTTTCTGCTGCTCCTCAATGTTCTTACTAACCTTTTGGGCAGCCGCAGCACGCCGCTGCAGCAGTTCTTTTCTCTCAGCACTTTGCTGATCCAAATGTGCCATTCGCTTGTTAGCTTCTTCAAAAATAGGCAGTTCTTCTAGCTTCTGTTCCTTAATGAACTTCTGCAATGTTCCAAGAAGTGTGCGCTCTTTTGCATCAGCTGCGGTCTGCCAAAGTGTAAAGATAATTTAGGAATCAAGAACTCCCTACAACCTTGATTGTATAATGTTTATAATAAAGAATACTGCAGCAGAGATGCACCTGAGTAGCAAGATCATCTCCCCTGATGCGGATCATCTTACCAGCAACTGCAGCATGATCAATGTACGATCTCATAATAGGCAACAAAGGGTATTTGTGCGCTATATTAAGAGCTTGAATGAATTTGACTGCCTCTAGCTGTTTGCTTTTGTTTACCATTTTCTGAATGAGGACTGGTGCAAAGAAATTATTTCATATAAATGTCAGTTTTTTATCAATGATAAGAACATTAAAAATTGCCATGAATTTTTGAAGCAGCAGATGCAGAGGTGACCCTGGTCAGCTGAAGAATAGACTATAGATATTGGGAATAAATGCATGACATGAGAAAAGTAACAAACACAACATTATAATGAAGCTTGTTATATGGCATTCTACAAAAACACTCCTACACATTTTGATGTAAAGCAGGGCAGTAGAAGATATTCACTGCCTCCTAAAAAACACCCAAAAACCAGCCTAAACTACAAATAAAAAATATTCAATTTGTGAAAGAGGAAAAATGATGGAAGAAACAACAGAGAGAGCTATAAAGAAGCACACGATGTTAAGACAGCCATGTCCCAAAAGGATTCAATAAAGAACTGGGCAAGACAAGTTACAGAACACGTGAGGAAATAGATTACCAACCAAACATTTGACAACAAAATGTGATTGGTAAAAAAAGTGGCAGCATCTAGGAAGCTATGATTAACTGATAATAAGGAAAATAATGTGCAAATTTTGTGCCCCACTGCCCCTCCCCTTTTCTTTTCCCTGAGGGGCTCTGTACAACTATTCTCTTCCTTCCACAATACAAGGTAGGCAGCTCTCCTACGTTGTTCGATAACAGAACTACAGAAGTCACACAATTTTTTTTCCACTACAGACGAACCGAATTTCATTACTGATAAGCAACAAAATTACAAGAGTTTCAAGTACTTCAAAATTTAGACAACGAAACCCATCCCTTGTCATCCACACTGAGCACCAGGGCTCAGCCCGGAAGAAAACAAAAACAAAAACAAAAACAGAAGTCACACAATTGTAGAACATATTTATAAGATAACGACATCAGAGCTACGAAGCAGGCCTAACAGCACGTCTGGCAGCTTAGCTCCCAACCATGAAAGAAAGGGTTCCAAGCAAACAGATCCTGATACCGTGATTGTAACAATTTTTTATTTTCTCTTTATTTGTATGCCAATGTCTGATTTTCATTTAACAAATATCTCAAGGCCAAGTCGAGTTGAATGTGATAGAACAGGAAAGTACATCTGCACCTGAATGAGGCAAATTTGCATATAGGAATAACAACTCAGAATAATAAGCAAGTGAAATGAAATCTGATATTGAATTGATTGAAGTATGAATGAGTGATAAATTAGGAATTATACAGAGTTATTCAATGGATAATTGAGTGTTAACTAAAGGACGCTAACCATCCTGACAAATGAGTTGACCATTTTTAAGCAATAGCACCCTCACAAGGTCAACACACAGAATTCATCCCTTAACCTATCACTCATATGTCATATGCATCCTGAGAAACACTCGTCTGGTTAAACAAGACATTTACCACCATCCTCTTTGTCCAAGAAAGAGAGAAGGTTTTTTTTTCGACAAAAGAAAGAGAGAAGTTTTGCATGTACTAAATTCATTTGTCCAATTACTCTCTACATTGATTACCAAGAGCCATGATTCCAGTCTATAACAGATCATTTATACAGGATACTGCACACAATGTAGCAATTGAGCCCATTTTTGCAAATTTCCACACACCGTCCTTGTACAAGAACCTAAAGGTCTGGTTCACCAGTGCCTTCAGGGAGGGAGAGGTAAGCAGCACACGATGAGGGAGGGAGATATAAGGAAAGGTCTAGGGTGGCAGCAGGAAGCAGAGAGAGTTTCCTGCAATAGTGTGCTGGTCTGTTGTAAGAGTAGGTAAGGGATCTGGGAAGCGTGGTTTAGACAATCTTCTTCTTGTGACTAGTCATCCTACAGGACCAAGAAATTAGAATCTTACATGAACCATCACACAGATAGAACTTCCTTTTCCTGCTGCTGATACGGCCAGCTAGTACCATGAGGTCCTGCCACTCATCCCTGCTCAACCCTTCCTTTCCCCTCCTCGTTCCACCTAGTTCAATTTTGAATGTACTCCATGATTACCCTGTTCAGCCTATTGGTCAATATGTATAATGGTCCACCCAATGGTTAGGATATTTGGTGACCTTCTGTCAGCACTCAGTTATCCATGCAACAATTCTATATGATTTGTATGAAAGCATACATTTATCCTTTGAACAATGCTAAGCTAGACATTATTACACCGCTACTTAATCGAACTTTCGTACCCTATGATGTCAATTTGTTTGATTTAGATGCAATCTTATACAGTGCCAAGCTTTGATTTGACTCAATTCTAGAATATTATATTTTCTGTAAAGAAAAAACAGAAATTGGCATAGAAATATAAAGGAACAAGTTACAAATAAGGGGTCACATGGTCCATATGCCTGACAAGTTACTCAATTCTAGGATTGTTGTAAACTAAGTGAAATGTGGCTTACTTGGCATATGCTGGTCGAGGTCCAGGCCAAGGACAACGAACGCCTCAACGGCGCGCTCACGACCAGAGATGGACACGACTAGATCAAGCACCTCGCCGGTACCGCCCACATCCTCCACGAGCCCAAACACTCCCACGAGATGCAAGAAGGCGAACGTCTCCTGCTTAAACATCACCTCCGTCCCGATCCGCTTGCCTCGCTTCCAGTCCGCCGCGACAGCTCTGGCCTCCTCGCGTGCCTCAGGCGACGGCTTGAACCCAATCGCGCGCAGCCGGTCGAGCAAGGCCATGAGCAGGCGGCAGGACGCCTTGACGCTACCGTCGTTCTTGGCCTCCTCCGGCGGCGTGCGGCAGAAAGTCGCGGCCGCAGAGAGACCAGAAGCCCCAGGTCGGGCGCCACCTGGAGGGCGGCGTTGAGGGCGCGCGCGGGCTCCTTGAGATCGTCCCTGTGCTCGGTGAGGTACGCGAGGAGGCCGGCGCCGTCCATCGCCGAGCAGATCAGCTCGAGCTCGGAGAAGCCGGCTAAGCGGGCGGCGAGGGTGGAGTCAAGGCTGGAGGCGTGGGTCTCGACGGCACGCCATGCGGCGGTGAAGGCGGAGAGGGCCGTGGAGTAGGCCTGGAGGGAAGCGATGGCGCCCGGGATGGACGGCGCGGCGTCGGCCATGGCTGCGGTGGCCGAAACCCTACCTGTGCTCGGTGAGGTCCGTGGACCGTGGTCGTGGTCCGGGTCCTTTTCTCCTTCCTCCTAAATCCAAAAAAAAAAAGTAGAAGAGGCAGGCAGGGAAGGCCCCAAATTGAGTAACGTTCCAGCTCGTTCAGTATCGGGCCAATTTCTTTTATCAACAATTGTGGAGGCCCATTACGGCAGGGGCCACTTTCCATCCCCTTTGCTCTTCTCTGCGAGAAATTTACAAAATGAGACTCCAGCACAGCACAGGGTGTTTGCAAATTTAGCACTCGGAGTGGATGACAAATGGGTCCACATGTATCTCTGTTGTTGTTGGTGCCACTTTCGTTCCCTTCCACTGTGCTGGGCGGTGATTTTTCGTTCGGTACTGCTAGGAACGAGACTTCCGTCCGCCGCTTCGTCCAGAAGACTATCTATCTTATCCGTTCATATCCGCTCCCTCCGCTTCCCTCCTGTCACAGTAGATTAAAAAAATCACGCATCACCGCGATCGCGCTCTGCTGCGCCTCCCGCAGGACTTCCTCTCCACCACGCCTCCCACCGGCCTTCCTCTCCACCGCTGCCGCCTGCACAGCCGCTGCCTCCTCATCGCACGAGGTCGCACCCACCCGACTGTTGTTGTCGGCTCCGCCGCGGGCACAGCTCGCTGGGGCACCATGTGCGCCCCTATCGCTGAGGCAGCGCCGCCGTTCACCGAGGGGCCCCCAGCCACCCGCCTGTTGTCATCCTCTTTCTCCACAGTGACCGCACAGCCCGCTGTGCAATGCTCTGCCCGTCCGGCTGCCAGGTTTTGCTGAAAACGCATGTTGCAAGTGTATGTTTCAAGTGTTTCAGATATTTTCATAGGTATGTTGCAAGTGTTTCAGATGGATGTTGCAAAAATAGATCGGGATGTTGCATATGTTGCAATGGTTGTACATGTATGTTGCAAAGGTTTGTTACTAATGTTTTTATCTGTGTTTTCGGACATATGCTACCAAGTGTGCTTATCTAGATGTTGCATATGTTTCACACATATATTGCATGTGTTATATCTGGATGTTGCGTATGTTTGCAAAGATTTTCAAATGTTTTCAGGTGTTTTTTCAAGTGTTTCAGAAGCATGTTGCAAATGTGTGTTTTAAATGTTTTAGTTATTTTCAGATATAGGTTGAAAGTGTTTTATTTGAATGTTGCATATATTGCAGCGGCTACACACATATGTTGCAAACATATATTCCAAATGTTTCATCGTTTTCAGACATATGTTCCAGCAAGTCCTCCATGTTCCAAGTGTTTCATGTGACGCAGGCGGTCCCCACGAGGGCAAGCGCCGGGGGCGCAGCAAGGCGAGCAGACGCAGGTGCGCAGCATGGCGCGGGCGAGCAGCAGGGCGCAAGACCAGCAGCAGCAGGGCGCGGGGCAAGCAACAGCAAGGCGAGCAGGGCGCGACGAGCAACAGGGTGGGCATGCATGCTCCGATGTGCGTCCATAAGTGGGGGCGACCACAGGGAGCGTGTGGGAGACAGCCACCTGATGTGGGACCCGTCGCAGAGGTAGGGGGCACTGGAGTGTTGCCATTTTCTGTTGATCTGTTTTGGCCACTGGCGGGCTCAGCTGACAGCCGAAGGAGGTGCGCTCCGCTGGCTGTTTGGCCACATGTCCGCGAGTGTGTAGAGGCAGGTGTGCCACTTGGGTTGCACGGCGAGCACGCGCTAGGCTGAGTGGTGGGCGTGTTGCGGGCGTCCAGACGCACGCTTCTGTTCGAACGTCCGGGCGCTAGTAAGCCTCTTTTTCCATAGTAGTTGATCAGTACTCCTACCGTCCCATAAAAAATGTCAGTCAAACATTTTTAACTTTATTAATAAAATATGTATAAGAATCATTAATATTTATAGTATATGATAAGTTATAAAGACACTTTTTTTTTGAGGGAGTAGCTGTTGCCACATGTTGATCATTTCTAGTAGCTCTTTGCTTCTACGAGCGGCTCCAACGGTGTTAAGAAGAGCTACTTCAAAAAATAGCATAAAACAATATTTTAATGATAGCACGGAGCACGCTCCAAACTAAAAAAAATGAGAAAGAAGTATTTTTAGTCGCGCCAAACGCTTTGACGAAACCCACAACCCAGTCGCACCACATGCTTTGGCACGAGCCTATACGCCACAATGCGACACATATGCCACGCTAGCGATAGTCGACCGACACAGCCTGTTTACACCAGATTTTGGAGAAGGCCGTAAAATCTGAAATTTGGAAGGCACCGCGAAAACCGCGGCGATTGCGGCATCGGCTCAAGCGTGACAGAGTCGGGCTCTGCTAGAAAGGAAATCATGAAGTCCAGTTTATGTAAATTAGATTAATTTCTCCTTAAGCAATAATTACCGAAGTTGTACTCGACTAAGACTGTATCGGCCCAAGGTATAAATATAAACCCCGGCTATTGTAAAATAGACATCTATCGATCAATACAACATCTTTTTTGGGTTCACTCCATTGCACTAGGAGTAGGACTAACTTAGATCTTGGTGAGTTCTTCGATAGACAGAGCTGCATCAATTTTGATCTTCGATTTGCTTGTAAGTACCGTCATTATCGACTTATTATCTAATCTTGTAAGTCTTCATCTTTTGATCTCTTGTTGGATCTGATATTTGTCAGAGTTATCGATTTTATCACGTTTAGTAAGGCTGCATCTTATGATCTCTTGCTAGATTTAGTAGAATCACAAGTTATCTAACTAAGATTAAGGCATATTGGCTTAAATTATACGAATCTGTCATCTTGCTGTTTATCACGTTTATCTTGTTCTTGACGCTGTCTCAAATTGATCCGATTGGTGGCCGGTAACCCTAGATTAGATCTTGTTAGTCAATGGCTTTATTATTTATAGAAAAGCATGCAAGGAATTGTTTGCATTCTATGACCCGATGACTTGTGCTTTCATGTTTATACCTTGGCATGAGTTGTGCTTTCACTTTTATCTTATGCAATGAGTCTATCCATCAGTTATTTATTTAATATCTTTATACGGATATACACTGCTGCCATCAGGGCATTAACCGATGATGTTTGTTCAACTTGCCTTATTCTATCATATCATTGTATATCGGCTCCATAAAAGATGTCTCGTTGCATTCCATTGGCTTCCTAGTGGATGGACTCATGGAATTATCCGGATCACAAGCGACATATTTCGTTTTAAATTATTGATTATCTCTTCCCTTGTTAATTACAGGTTAAATTGATCGGCACGTCCTAATTCCAAAATCGACAGGACCTGCGTTAACCAGATTTCTGTGTCGACACATCCACATGGTTGCTGATGTGGCATTTGAGTTGTGCCAAATCATTTAGCGCTATTGAGTCACTAATTCACGTCAGCGTTTGGCACAACTCAGCCGATCGTCCCTTATTCCACTCCCTTCCTCTCATCTCCACACCTCAAGCAAAGAAGCGGCAATGGCGGTCGCCCGAGTTTCTTCGTCGTGGGAGTGGATCACCACCTACTCCTTGGGTCAGTGGTGTTAGCCTAGATGTATCTTCAGCTCTAAGACGCTTGTCGGAGGAGCGGAGACAATGCTAACTTTGGTGGTTGTGCGTACCTGCTCCAGATCTTGATGTATCTTCATGGCCAATAATAAGAATGCCTTCATACGCGGACGCCCAATACACGACAACTTCAAATGTGTCCCGTAGACGGCGACACTTCTGCGCAAGAGGAAGACCCCAAAGTTGTTGCTGAAGCTCAACATCTCAAAGGCCTTCGAAGAGACCAGAGGGGTCCTAGAGGGAGGTCCGGAGAGGAAAAAGGTAGGATTCTAATTCCCAAGGACTCAATCGCCTCCCCATGTGACTCGCGACTGTAGCGCCACCGCCGCCTCCTGCCTCTAGCACAGCTGGTCCCCCTCCCTCCCCCCCTCAGACATATCGTCGAAGAGGCCGGAGGGAGTGGGGGTCCATCGTTTTTAATAAGTTTTTCCAGTAGATCGAGGCTTTAAGGTTAGTGTCTCTCCATGCAAGTTTTTTAGTTTTAGGGATTTATCTCCTCCTCCTTCTCTCCGGTGATGGCGAGAGGGCAGGGTGGAATCGTTTTCTCCATGGCGGTTCAGGTGAAGATGGCGGCGACAACTACAACGTCAGCATCCTCACTGGTATGACGACATGAAGACTTTTATCTCCAAATGGTGACATCAAGGTGGAGATGGTGTTACCGCCATGGAATAATTTTCTCCGGTCTCTTCTCCGTTTTATTGTAGTTAGATCTGGCCACGATGAAGGATCAGGGAGGATAAATTTCAGATCAGTCTTCCTCATTCTTCGGTGGCAGAAGTAAGATGAAGGAAGACACCAGAAAGAAGAAGTTTCTCAATTCCGTCTACATGAATGTTGGCCGTCGTTCGTTGGGCATCTGTTCTTAGGTTTTTTTCTGAGTGTTTTTCTGTACGGTCATCCATACTGCAAAGCGTCGTACAAGTTCTGTTTTGAGATTTGTAGCTATTCACAGTATAAGTATAATTTAGATGAAAATCAGTTTCTGAATATTTGTGTAATCCAGAGTGCTTGTAACATGTTGATATACCAAGTTATTATCTAATATAATTCTTCTTTGGTGGGGAAAAAATCTCAAAGGCCTTCGACATGTTGTCATGGACGTTCTTAACGCGTTCGGCTTCAGCGAGCACTAGCAACGCTGGATTTGGACGCTTCTTAGCACCGCGTCCTCTCGGGTGCTGCTGAATCGGCAACCTGGGAGCCAATCCAACACATGCAGAGCGTGCGCCATGGAGATTCGCTATCTCCCGCCATGGAGGCGCTCAACAAGCTGTTCGACAAAGCGAGCTCTAATGGGGTGCTCAAGCTGTTAGAGCCTGCAGTCAGGTTCCAGTGCAACATGTACGTTAATGATGTCATCCTGTTCATGAACCCAGACATTCAAGAAGAACCTCATCCACAAGACCAACCTCTCCAAGTGCTCGATCACCCTATTTTTT